ATCAAAGCGAGGCTATCGGGTCAACATCGATCAGATTTGTGTGAGAAAGTGAGGAAAACTTATGGAGTGTTCCACAAATCTTCCACAAGCGGCCTTTTTTTCCGCTGAGGAGAAAGTGCAGTTGATAAGTGGTAATTGCCCACGGCATATAACTGAAGAAAGACTCAAAGAATGGTTGTCATTCCGCAAAGGGACGGCTAAAGATGGTAGTGCACGGTCTGAAGCAACGAAGGCTGAGTTATCTCAAAGGTACACAGATTGCAATATTTTTTGTCCCTTATAATTATTGCCATTGCTTGAAGGGAATATCGAAGCATAAGTTCTATATCGATTTGTTTTACCTGCCGCAGGGTCATCAGTTATATAAAAAATGGTTGGGAGAATAATTTTACGGAGAAGTGGCAACACTTGGCGGCAAGTAAACCACTGGAGCAAACGGCGACCGTCAATTGTGATTTCCCTGGATCTGCACAATGGGTTTCGCTGATTGACGCGAAGGACGATGTCCTTTCATTTAATATTCAGAATATCGTGTCTTACTTTATTGAAAGAAAAGCTAAAGACAATGAATCCAACAAAGATTTCAAGAATGTCAGCAGCAAAGCTTTCGGTTTGTTTCGACATGGTCATATCCAAAAACTGGAAATCGCACGGGACGCGCTCCTTAGTTTGCCATTTCTCAAGTAAACATGAGATTTCGTCATTCTTTAACTGAAGTTGATGTTCCCAGTTTTCATCTACAATTTGAAATAAACCTTCACTTTCGAGATGTTCAGTTTCCATACCATCTGAAACAGATTTAAAATCGGTGTTTTCAATGTTTATCGGTTCGGGGGCTGAATGCTGCTGCGATTTCTCTATTTTTGTTTTCTTTGTGTTCAACGTTGCTCGATCAGCGGGCTCTTTCCTCTTTGGTTTTTCAACAGTAAATATAAACTTTGTCGGTACGGAATCTGGCTTCAAGCGAATTCTTTGTCCTCCCATTGGTTTTATGAGGCAATTAGCTTCAAAATGCTGACTACAGACATAAGAGTTTTTGTTTACCGGAGTGTTCTCTCGACGCAGTTTCACGAGCCATTGCGCCAGCAAATTCTCGTTTGACAGCGGCAGCGAATGCCATGATAGGTCCTTGCATTCCGCTTTGGAACTTCGGTTTTGACACCCAAAAGCTATGCAATGTTTCACCATAGATAAAGAAACTAAAAACTCGAGAAAATATTATGTAAATACCTAGCTACTACTAATTTCCCTCTCTGCTTCCTTGTACTTTAGAGCGAGCTAGACCCGATAGCCTCGTTTTGGCGTAAGCTCATCCGGAGACCGCTGATTTCGCGTGCTCAACTCCGATAAGAGCTATTAACCTCTGTGGGTTATACACTACTGGAGGAGTATCTAAGACAGCACACAAGAGCTCGCAATCACCGGTTCGAGACTTCCCTGACGCGCCTGGACGAAGTTCCCTGTGGTTGTGTAATCAGTAATGCTGCTGAATTCCCGAGGATAGGAAAGTAGCGGATAAGGGGATATATTAGGTAGGCGGAGACAGCAGAGCGGAAGGGGGATGCAGTCATGTCTCGTTCTTGAAATCGTTTGCTTTCAAAACTTCTCGAATAATCCTGCCAAAGGCAAATTTCTTAGCACAAAATACGTGAATATTTCTTCATTTATCTATCTTCCTTTGGGAATCGGTGAAAACACTGCAAATTCGGATGAATCACCAAGGCTCTCTAAAGACTGGTTGTTCATGCATGGTAATCTGTAACCTTTCCCAATGGCGTGGTGAGAGAGCCAACTTGAGAATTTTTAAGTGAACAGCTGGAGGCAAAACTTTATCTTTTAATGAAAGCAGTTGAACGAAATATTTAACACTGTATGTACAGTGGATGGACTCTGTTATAAGCTAAAAGATTCTAATAATTACAATAATTCTTGTTCATTTTCCTACATCAATAAGCTTTTACTGATAAGTTTTTTATTTCCTTATGGAATAGTTCTTGTCCCACTTTGGGTTTTTTAAACATTCTTTAAGTATCACTGACTAAATTTAGTGTGCTTGCCTGAGGCGTGTTCTCTCTACACAACTGACCTCCTTAAACAGCATTAGTACGGAAAAAAACTTGTCTTTGTTCACTGCAGCCAGAAGCTTCATATTAAGGCTTGCAAATAGGTTAAAAGACTGACTAAGCTATAATGAAGCTTGTAGGAACTTTTTTTTTTTTTTTATCAAGAGACACCATTAAAGCTTAGTATCTAAATGCTTAATTCCAGCAATCCCTGGGCGTTGCCCCATGTTCGCTCGGCCATTTATCGAACCTGAAAGTTGAACATAGAAAAGAAGAACTGATAAAATGATTGCCGAAAGATCTGATATTCGTAATTTCTCCACCGGCACCCAAACCCAAATTCCACATACATTTGTTAGGGAACACTTGTTAATGGACATTCTTTCCAATTTAGTAATCGGAAAAGTGGAAAGATCACAAGTCTATAAAAAACTACAATATATGATAAGAAAAAGGTCAGTCATTATTCACCGCTTGGGGGTGGGGTGTGGGGAGGTTTTGGAGGGAACATATGGTTTTCAGGGGGTACGGAGGGGGATATCAGTCGTCACCAACAGAGTATAAAGAAGGCTATAGAAAATTGACTGCCAATTAATTGCTAATGAGGACGGGGGCGGGGTGGGTGGGTGGGTCTCTTAAGAATATCACAGAGACCTATGTAGGATCAGGTATATTTTATCGTGACACAAACAAAATTCTCCAGACCCCCAACCCCCATACGATAAATAATGACCGGTCCCTATGTAAGTGTAAAAAAAATATGGAATTAGGTAGGTGCGAATGAGATAAAAAACGGCAGCCAGAGAAAGGAGGAGAGAGGGAAAGAGGGAAAAGGAAGGGAATAAGAAAGGATAGAGAAAAAGGGGAAAAAGTGAAAAGAAAAGAGAGAAGGAAATATAGACTCAGTGAAAAATCCCGCCCGTGGAAAACTTATTTCAGCACTTCACTGCCAGATCAGTCTCGTTAGGACGCACATTCTACGAACTAAACGTATATGGTAACAAACGCTTCTGCGCGGTACAAGACGGTGTAAAGCAGGAATGAACTCATAATACCTAGTACCTGCAGGTGACAACTGAGTAGTTGTTGATACAATAGATGATCTCCCAATTTGGGTCATCATTCCTAATCGTGTCCTTGTAATGGATCTGAGCAAACTCTCTTTTACCTATTGTAACAAATAAAGAGACACTGCAATAAACAAGCATAGAAAATAAACGATTCCAATTAAAATTCTGAGTGCAGCGGTTTTACCGCATAAGCCATCACTTCAGAGGATCGCCACATGGAATACGATATTCTGTATCAAACTTACACCAAAGCTGCACAAGCTAAGTTGGAAAATACCTGGTCATCCAAAACACCATGGAAGATACAAAACACCAAACCCTATAAGAATCAAAAGAAACACGAGTGAGGCAAACATGATCGATAGCAGCAACTGTAGAGCACATAGCACCGTTAGTACCTGGGACGAGTTGAGTATGATGAACAAATACGCAAGGACTTCACTCCAGTGGATAAAAAACCCCAGCAGCCACGTGACACCCAACAGAGGCAGTAGAGCTGCGATGCTCCTCAATCCTTTTCTGTAAGAATAAAGAAAAATTTAAGGGATCGATCACTGGGGGAACGGGAACGGAGGATTAATAGCATCTGGTTAAAAGAGCTTATTAATTAAAAGAATCACACATACAGTACAAATCTGACTTTTTTACTCGACCGTTAGGAAATCAAAAAAAAAAAAAAAAAAAACAGGAACGAGAAAACAAAAGAAGAAACTTGCCTGGTCTTCTCTACATTATCAGTCTGATATTTTTTCGATATCTTGGTGAATATCACTCTCAGTAGAATTACAAATATCACAAGATTGACCTAGAAATGAACAATTGAAAATGTTTGACCTTAAAAAAAAAATTCTGATTGGTCGTTTGAAGAACAGAAAAGCTCTATGTTAGAGTACTTTTGGATTGAAAGTCACAAAAACAAAACCCAGCCTCTTTAGTCGAAACGGCGCAGCAGAACAAAGGAAAGTATCAAAAGAGTTAAACGAGAACTGAAAAGAAACAGACATAAAGGTGTTCATCATCATTATTTATCGCCGATGGGGGTAAGGAAGGGGGGAGGGGGTCCGGAGGATTTCGTTTGTGTAATGATAAATTTACCTGACCCCCAGGCTCTTTAATATTCTCATGATTCCTCTTCTGTTGGTCACGACTTAGTCCTCTCCGTTATCCCGGAAAGTTATGAGATCCCCTAAAATTCTCCACCCCCCTCCTCCCACCCCGGCGATAAATAATCAATAGTCGAAGAAAAAAGCTGGACTTTTCGAAAGACACACAAGTAATGACTTCAAAGTTGATTTGGGAAAGAAATTTGAGCTTACCACGAGAATTGCCAAGATTGGTCCTTTATAAAGCCATTCACCGTCATTAAGCCAGCACCTTAAAAAGATTACAATATTCCAACATGACTAAGTAAGGAAAAAGGAAAGCAGATCGATGCACTTAACTTATTTACTTGGAACTTTCCGTTTTGTTGCAAGAAAAGGAAAAACAGTAAGAGAAAAATTGATATAGAAGAGTTTGTGAATCTAACCTTTACGATCCGCAAAAAGTAAAGAAACAGACATTCAAAACATTATAAATCAAACACATGGACCTTTTAAAAGAAAAAGTGTGGCAGTTAAAAGAAACAGTTAATGGTCCTAATCGAGGAAGTTGTAGAGTTATACCAACCTGTCACGTATAATCTCCGCTGAAAGTTTCAGTGATCCACACATGACGTCCTTGTAGTATGTCTTGCTCATATCATATGTCACAGGTCTGATGGCTGCTATTAGACCCACAGTAACAACTGGTAGACCTGTGGTCAAAGGAGGTCGGTATACTATGAAATCACAGATCAAAGTACCCCCGGTTATCGGTTAATCTGATTGTAAACAAAAGTTTCCTTCCGGTTATGATCCCAATGTCAAGTCTAACGGCAGTAATGTTGCAGAACTACTATATGTGGATACACCGCACTTAATGTCGCGTCAAACACCATAGAAAGAGAAAAGACATGATAACACTACACACTACATTATCTAAGGTAGGACTGAGGTATAGCATCTAAGTTACATTCCTCTCAGAAGCCTCGTTCTCGCGGTCTTTACTGTAAGTTACGAACCGAGTTTTTTCCGCTCGGACTTTTGGCCCAAGCGCTAAAAGTACGGGCTATAGATTGGAGCGAAAAAAATGAAACGGGTTCCATCACTTACGGGACAGACCGAGAAGACGAGGTTAGTAAGATAGTTACTAAAACTGTGGGTTTAAAAAGAGGAGGGAGATTTAAATTCAAATAAAATTTTGAGTTTAGAGGGCGGTACAGTGATTGATAGACCGCTAGGGTCCGTTGGGCTAACCAATCATAGTGCATGTACTAGATATGAGAGATGATAAAAGCTGTAAACAGAGCCTTACCCCACCCGATGACAATGTATGTGATGTAGAGCTTGTGGACTGAAAACACTTTCACCAGCTTGATGTAAAGATGAATTCCTTCAACCAACATCCACGTGAAAATAGCGGTGTGTGTAATATGTTGGAGGACAGCCATAGCTGAACATAATTTCTACGATATCATGAAGAAAAAAAAAAAAAAGAAATGTCTAGGTGTTTAAAATCAAACAGCCATGTTACTCTGGTTTTTCAAGCGGAAAAAAAGTCAAATAAATCAAGGAGTATGGGCTCCTGCAAGATTTGCTACAAGCTATTAAGGAAACAGTGTGTTCTTATTATCTGAGCGGGAGGGCCGGACGGGAAATATTTGGCTCATGATGACAACTTACGGACTTTGCTGCGCTTAGTCCACACGGCATGACCCGCAGAGCCAAATATTTTCCCGTCTGACCCGACCTTGCCAGTCGATACACATTTAAGCGTAAGACTGCCGTCTTTCTCGTTCTTCCTTTCTTCTTACATATTTTCATCCTCACATCTCGCGGGGACATACGCTGGGCTATGCGACTTTTCCCGACCCTACTCGTGCTATTACGTACATTTCTTAAACCGGAATTTTTTTTAAGTGTTATCAGAACTTATAAGGATCAGGATCAGTTCAACTCACCGGTGTCTGCTTCCTGTTTGTAAAAATATACGAGTCGAAGATCATCAGCATGTAAACCAGGCATATGGATATTAAAAGGTTTTTATGAACAAATATTCTCTCGGAGTTTCTTATCCTGTGTTAGAAAAGAGGTCACTCTGTTAGCTTTATAGTCGGTACTTCATCTTCAATTAATGTTTTGTTAGTAATTCAGTTGCAGACTAAAGTTCGGCTGGTCAGATATATATATATATATATTAACTACTGGTCTATCAGTCGGAAGTCAGTCCACGTTTGTACGTACGGTAGTAAGCGAACAAGTCAGTCCTTTAGTCGGTAAGTTAGTCAGTTAGCCAGTCCGTCAGTCATACGGTAGTCAGTCAATCAGTCAGTCAGTCAGTCAGTTGGTCAGTCAGTCAGTCAGTTGGTCAGTCAGTCAGTCGGTTGGTCCAACAGTTGGTCCAACAGTTGGTCAATCAGTCAGACGGCCAGCCAGCCGGTCAGTCAATTAGTTAGTCAGATAGCTGATAGCTGAGTCATTCCGCCCGTCAATCGTCAGTCTGGACAGTCAGTCCGCCAGTAAGGCAGTCCACCGGTAAGTCGTCAGTCAGGCAGTCCGACTACTGTCTTATGCATAGATCAATTCGAAGCTTCAATATCCCTTCCGGGCGTTTGAACTTTCGAAGATTAGCGTCTCAGTCAAATCCCCCTCCCCCCGAGCCAAACTTGCGCTCGAAAAAGCTCATGAAAGCAGACTCTTTACCTTTAAACTCCTCCTTTGAAAAACGTGTATTACGTTAATAAGACTTGATACTTACCGTTCAAATGCCCCACCTCATCCCAAGCAAGGTTCAAATTCCCCTTCCCCGGCCATAGATGACATTCAAATGTCAGTATGGTGCCCGGGGGATGCTGAAACTTCGAATTGATGGGCATATTAGTCACACTTCTGAGTATCAAACTGACTGAGCACCTTAGGCAGGAAAGCAGTATTAAGCAAATTATAACAACCACTGTAGAAATGCTGCTGAGAACAAGATCCAGGTGAGTTTTAACCATAACTTTCCTCTCTTTTTCCTCATCTCTAACTTCCCTGGCAGTGATTTTTAATGTTCCATTTACCTGAAAAAGAAATTTAACTGATTTAACCAAGGAAAGTTTCTGTAACTTTGACAACTGGCCACTAATTTGCTGCATAAAAGAATGAAAGTCGTATACTACCCCTCCCCCCTCAGCACCAACGATCTAGCTCTTTACCGTTTATAATTCAAGTTATTTGACTTACATCATATTCAATCCAAGCACAGTTGAAGCGTTGAAGAGGAACAAGGACGCGACTGAAATTCATCTAGTGAGAGAACAACAGGAGGTGTTCTTTGAGTCAAAGCTTTCCTCCTTAAATTTCGCTTGATAAGATGGATGTGCTCTCAAAAAAAGGTCATTTTAAAGAAAATTAGAGTGGGTTCGATAAGCTTTAAAATTGAGTATAAAAACTGATCAAATGATATCCCATGGTTCCTATTGGTACCTATATTATTATTATTAAAGATAGGAGCATATTAAAGTGAAAACTTTGTTTTTGGTCGATACCCCTGGGATTGAGATAATAAACAAAAAGATCCCAACTGAAATGTGACCTTGAGGTCATTTCCCTCAAAACGATTTTTTTTCAGACATGATCAGTTTCCCTCGTACTTTAGAATTCACGGGGGCCTTTTTACTTTGGTTTATTACTTGCCTCGCTTGTGATGTTTCCCGGAGGAAGTGAAAGGGAGCTGACAGTATCACTTCCTGAGGACAGCTGGTTTGGATCAATCCTCAGATTAAGAACCGGTCGCATCCAAAAGTTAGTTACACCAGGAGAATCTGGGCTTATGTTGCCTTCTCCGGAGAATGGAGGAGGAATTTCGCTTTAGGATATACAGAAGTATGCGAGAACAGATTCCATGAAAAACAGCAATGAATAAGGAATGAGTCCATTCTTTACAATTAATGTTGTCAAAACCGTAAGAGCATTTCCATGGGTATCGTAAAATAAAAACTAGATACTAACAGCCAAAAAGGGTAGAGGAAAAATATTACAGGGAGCCAATGAGAATTCAAGCTGTCTGGAGCGCGGGAAAACGCGAGTGATTTGTTACGATTGGTTTTAATGGTGATTCTGAGTCAGGCTCTCTTAATTGCCGTACACCTGCTAGGATCATTGCTTCACGCATTTTCAGTCTAGTTTAAACTAGAATTTCTTTGCTTTACTTACTATTTCAACGATCTTAGAGTGAAACAAAACCGGAAGGTATGCGTCAGATTTGAGGCTCCGCAAACAAACTCCTTGATATCTTGTATTAATGACCAGCGCTGCGAGTACGTCTGCGAAAACAACCAAGACGGTAACAATTTAGTGACTTAAACAAGTTCGCCATCCATAGAAATCCACGTTCATGGCAAAGTTTCGGTACAATTTTTTGAATAGCTAGAAATTTTCCCACTCCAGTTTGAAGAAACAGGGATGGTGCAGTGATGAGAGCACTCCCCGCCCACCATCATAGCCCGGGTTCGATTCTGGCTTCACATGTGGGTTGAGTTAATCATGGTCGGTTCTCGTCTTTGCTCCGAGGGTTTTCCACCAGTTTTCCTCGCTTCACAAAAAGCAACATTTCACAAGAGTAGACAGGAAGAGCCATCCAGTGGAAGGTCCATTGCTAAATTCCCATTTACTTATCCCAATTTTATTATTCATTCCCACTCCCATTTGTCCTGCTTTTATTCTCATAATCCGGAACAAAGGAAATTGATTTGTTTATCTTCATTATCATTATCACATTTGTCATCATGTGAATTTTCGTCTCTGGCGATTAATTCAGTTTTCTTTCCAGTTTTCCTTTTCGTTTTCGAATTGGTTAAAGCCATCTGGCTTTGGTGCTCGTTTACGTCGGTAAAAAACCCTTTAAAAAAACGGTGATGTGGCGTAGCACCTTTAAAGGTGTGTGCCACACTTACCTCATCATCCTAACCGAGTTCGAGGTCGGTAGTATAAGTTATAGACAGAGTTTTTTTCTGCTCTTATCTATAAGTCCGAGCAGAAAAAGAGGTTTCGTAACTTGCAGTGCGGACCGAGAAAACGAGGTTAGCCAAGATTTCTTTACTATTTCTGAGTTCAAGTAGAGGTCCAAGATTTCAATTTAAACAAACTTTTGAATTAAAAGGGCTGTGCAGTGAAACACGACCCGTTAAATCACGCAATCATAGCGCACGCACTGACTTATAGATATGATAAAGTTGGTTAATTTTGTTACAAAAATCATGAATAAGGCCTTTAGATGGAATATTACTTTCAAATCAAAAATCTGGTTGTTAATTATGTTACTTGTTTATTCGCTTGCATGTTTTAGCTTTGCGTTTTCTTTTTCTACAGTATGTTTCATGCATGCTTACCACTTCTTTGGGACAAAAGGAGTCTGAGTGAGGCTTGAAAACGTTTTCGGTTTGAGTTGTTTGGAATATGGCCTTAAGAGAAAGAAAATATATATATGAAAAGTTCATAATTTGCAGTCCTATGAAAGGTCAGTTTGAAAATGAACCCCCAGACAATCATTAAAAAAGGCTACCTTCTGGATCTGCATTTTGAAATCCAGTAAGGGAACGGTCATTATTTATCGCCGGGGGGGGGAAACAGGATTTTATGTCACAATATGATTCCCGGGCTCTGTAGTATTGCTAATGACCCCCTCTCTCACCGGCAGTCAATCTTTTATGGTCCTCCCTCCTCCCTAATATACTCTGTTAGCGACGACTAATTCCCCCCCTCGTTCCCCCTGAAAAGAATGTAAACTCCCAAACTCTTCCGACCCCCCGCCCCGAGTTGATTAAACGCGACCCGTCCGTAAGGGGTTTCTTAAATTCTTCGATAACTTATGTAGATAAATCAAGCCTCTAGGAAGACCTTTCTTTGATTTATTAAAAAAAAAGTACCCATAATTTTTTTTAAAAAATTCCTTTGTCCTTTTTTAAAAGAGTAGTAAAGCGCATATATAATTTTAAACTGACAAAGAATGTAAAGTCTGTCATATGGTCCTAAAGGCTAAAATTCGTACCTGTGAGAAATTGAGCGCCACCATATCGTTGGAATGGTTGACTGGATTTAGTAGGAGAGCTCCACTTTTAAACCAAAGGCTCAGATAATTAAAGAACAGTTCTTTGTTTGTAAAGTTAGTGGCCTTGTTCACAAATGCTCTTGTTAGTTCCAAAATGTTTGTTAGATTCACTATGGATAGCTGAAAATGAATAGAGGGAAGCTTTATATTAGTTCCAGTAAACTCAGTTGTTTACCCAATGAACTTTAAGACAAACACGATGACGATATTAACTTCTTCGTTCGTGCGAACGCGAATCAAACAAACTATTTCAATTAGGGCATTTGATTCTTGGCCACTGTAAAGAGTTCTAAATCTGATGTTTTACGCTTTAACCCTTCGTCAGAGCGAATGACAAATTCTACAAACTCTAGATGGTGGCCGATTTATGTAAGCAACTCAATTAATAAAACCAAATCACCTTAGTTGTTATATTCCTTATCGTTTCTTTAGAAACTTACCGTCCCCTCTTACTACATGCAAAAACGAAAAAATTTGAAAATAAATCAAAAGCTTGATTTATTTATTTGCTATTCCAATTGAGTCATGTATCGCGTTTCAAACAACCGCGGATTAGAATACATCGGAATCAAACTACTACATACTTTATGCCTGAATTCTTGACGAAGAGATTTTTTTTCGCAAAAACAGCTTTCTTTGAAACTCCACTTTGTCATATCACCATACGGTGAAGAACAACGGTTCGTGAAATTTCCTGTGGCCAAATGGAAATAAATAAGTGAAAAGTAGGTTGCTGAGGTACAAACAATATTAAATCTATCTTAACAATCTAATGATGGTGATTCCAAGTCTAACTGAATATCAAGTACAACCAGCAGCAAATGCTGTAAGCTTACGCGAATGCCTGACGAAGTAAGCTCCATAGATCTGATTAAATTTTGTATCGGGTTTACACAATGAAAGGATATTGTAGAAAAATTAACACAAGCACTGAACACAGTCTGAACTTTGGAATAACAACTGATCGGTTTAAGTAATCCTCCTGGCGAGGAAAGAACAGAAATTTACTGTTACTGGCCGTGGTGCATGACTGAAATTTCTATAAACGGAATGATAGTCAAAGTTAATTAACTTACTTTGGACGATAAATTTGTTGAAACTTTAGTCAACGTTACTGACTTTTCGAATTCAGGACGTGCTCTTCTCACCCGAGTGATCATACTCCATGATCAGAGAAAAAAAATGTCATGTGAAGTGCACTAAAACAGTAACCTGTTTTCCACCCACAACTGGGCACTTCGTTTGACTTCTAGGAGTTATATCGTTTCCTTTTAACCTTTTTAATCCCAGAAGTGACTAAGATGTAACTTCTCCCTGTAATATATATACTACCCTGAAAACTGGTAATGAGAACACTCAAACTTAACAGATAGGAGATGTTGCCTTCATCTCACACCAAATTCTTGTCGCTTATTCACAAGGTACCACGAGGAAGCATAAAGAGAAAATTAACAATCAGATCTTGGAAATTAAATTTTTTTTCACAAAATAACATTTTTTTTCGACGAAGCGTATCAAAACATTTTTTTACCTCCTAACTCTGGATCCATCTCTGAACAGTTCCTTACAACAATCTCATTCAGGGCAGTTCTTTCCCAGTACATATTGAACTTCGTGTAAAATGGACAGAAATCTGAAATAATTATTTAAAAATTCCCCTTCAAAACAGCTTTCACAAAAAATATTCATGAAAAGGCATGAGTGCTTTTTTTTCCTTCTGTAATCAACATCTTCAAAGTGCAGACTAGGATGTTAGTCAACACCATTATAGGAGGAAGATCAAACACCAGTCATTATTTTTCGCCTGGAAAGTAGGAGGGTTAAAGGATTTCTGGGGGAGGGGGTTTCCAACTTTATCGTGACACAACAAAAATCATCCGACACTACCATCTCCCCTCCCCCCGCCCCACCCATCAGGGTGATCAATGATGACTAGTCCCTAAAAATAAAGGCGCGCTCGACATCAGTTGAAGGTTTTTCAAGTCCATTATTAGCAATGTATTGTCATTATCAACCTACTGTCAATCCTTTTCAACCTCAACCTTCGTCGTTTCTTTTCGCTTCATCCTCCTCATTTTTATGCTTTCTGTCTTGCAAAACTAGTATTTCGTGGTCTTCATCATTTTGAAGAAAACTTTTTGCGTGTTACGGGATAATACGGTTCAAATTCCGGTGACAGCCTCCGGAAACTCTCAAAACTCTAGCCGTTATTCATCGCCTATAGTAGGGGAAGGGGTAGCGGGTAGGGGGGGGGGGAGGGCTATGAAGATTTTGTAGTGTCACGGTAAAACTTACCAGATCCCCAGAAGGCTCTTTTAATATTCTTATGATCCCCTCCCATCAGCAGTACATTGGTAGTCAATTTGACTATAATTCCCCTTTTTATTTGTAATATTCTATTGGTGGTAACTGATCTTCCCGTCCGTTCCCCCAGAAGACCATACGATCCTCCATTATCCTCCGAACCCCTTCCCCCAGACTAAAAATGATGACTAGTTCCCAGGTCTTAGTCATTTCCATTTGCACTTACACTGAACGCAATCTCTCTCGTCAGACTTGTCCCTGCAGTCTGCTTTCTGATTACATCTGTCGTTAAGTGATCTTATTTCATCTCCACTCTTACAGAGGTACAGTCTTTCATCAGATATGAGTGATAAGTTTCGTACTCCTGAAAAAAGTGTAGAAACACAAACAGCCTAAAAAATATCGGAAAAGATTTTTGTATAATGCAAAGCAGAATAATTATTTTTCGACGTCCACAAATCTGAGCGGGAATGTTAAAAAAAAGTAGCTTGAAGGAGCATGTTTTTCAGGGCAAAAAAAAAATGTATGTCCCTTAGAGTCTCTATGACACGATGGATGTCTCGATAGTTCGTGGCCCCTGGAACAAACCTGTAAAAGCCCCTGTACATTGCACGTGACCAGCTTGCAAGTAGCATCCAGGCCTCACTCTCTGCTTTTCTGAGCTGCAAAAGAAGTCAACTCCATTCTCTGTCCAGCGGTAGCCTTCCAGATGGGTTTGGTTCCTCCATATGCAAACTAACGTAATGCAGAAAAGTCATTTACATGGGAATGGGTAACTTAAATTTAGTGTGGTCATTTTCTTATGAATTGTGGTGGTAAACCAGCTTTTAGGTACAAAATACATGATAATTCACAGAGAAAATTAGCTAGAATAATTGCAGCTCTTGTGATTACAGGATGAGACCTCTTTGGAAAATCATTGTTCTCCATTTTTACGCAGGTATTTGGCTTTCCCTTCACAATCACTTGCCTTTACAGATTCCTCTCTTTGCTTTCAAGAACGCCGCTACGTTACAATCCGGTTGACTACAGCGCTCAGTGTTTTCGTCATTGGATATAATGACTGACAGCGTTTTAGAACACGAGATAACGCCATTGTGACAGTAACAGTCGATGCAGTCACCAATAGACCAGGTGCTTCCATTGATATATGTATTTGCATCCTCGTCCTGACACAAGTCATCTGAGAAACAAATCATCAGCAGATAGGGACTGAAAAAATCTGCTTTGACAGGAATTGAGTGAGTTTAGAGAAGGAACCTTCCCCCGTCTCTCCTCATGTGGTGTTTAATCTTATGGTACTTCCCCTAAGGCTATTTTTTGGCACACTTCCCTTGGAGATCCAGGCGGATCTAAAAATAGTGAATTTAATGTTGCTAATTCTGCTCACATCCCATGATCCCACACGGCTTCTATGCGTTCTTCATTGAGACGTCAAGCAACACACTAAGTGAATGTACATTGGTCTCGGAAGACCAGATACCTAATTCTAAAAATAGCTTGAGAGTAATAACGTTTGAAATAGGGCTTACAAAGGGATACAGTCTCATTAACTTATTCTCTCTGAGCTGTCGCTGACGTCTATGCATTGGTTTTATTACAAAGTTGCACAAACTTTTCTGTTTAATAATTAGGACATTTGCTCCGAGAGAACTCACAAACTTTATGTTACACGTCCATTCTCGATAAGGGAATGTGACTAGGTTGTAAAAGAGAAGGAGTCCGGTCTTTTGGATAAAATTCGATTCGATAGTGATGGATTCAAAACATAGACCAAGACGATTAAAAAAACCCAGAAACTAAGTCCTTTCGATACGGCCTAAGTCAGTTCGATACAAACAAGTGAAAGATAAATTTGGATGTCAAAACGGCAGTTTTTCGGTGATATATCTTGCCTTATTTAATCTGCATACAACAATTTGTCAATGACCTTTGTCTCGGTATTTTTATTGATCTTATTGATTTTATTTAACTACCGCTTGCTAGGGTAGTCGAACAACAAAGAAAGTAGTAATAACCTAAAATAAAGAACATCTGCTGAGAATGGAGAAGATTAACACAGCTTGAAAATGAGAACTAGATTTTTTTAAGATGGACCAGCCATATCGAAGCCTCTTAGAAGTCGCTCTAATCAATCAAACTTACCCGTTTTACAGGCGCCGTTTCCCGGAAGGCAACTCGGGTCGATAATGTCACACTGATCATCACTGGCTATCAACTGAAGTCCTCCAGGACACACCTTCATACCCCAGCGCACCTGACTTGCAAGTTGTGGGAGTGCTACGAATTACAAAACGCGCCTTCAGTGAGAAATTGAGAGCAATTTTTCAATTGAATGCTGAATGCAAATTCGTAATTGCTTTCGTTTTGCTTCAATACACTAACCACTTTGTGATAGGTCCAAAAAACTCGCACGCTGCATGTGCAAATCAAATGCAAAACAGTCAATCACCCGACGCTTATAGCATCTTGTCAATTATTACTTTGCATTCCTATTGGCTAATGCTGATGTTCACCTTGATTCCAATTAGCTGTTGTCATAACTTTGGTTTTCGTTTTTCGAAAACTGACAAATAATCGTTTCAAAAAGATGATAACATTGCTGTTAATTCATTTGGATTAGGGAAGGGATAGCAGGGAGTGGGAATAGTGTAGAGGTGAGAGCGCTCGCCTCCCACCATTGTGGCTCGGGTTCGATTCCCGTCCTTGCTTCAAGGGTTTTCTCCAAGTCTTCCGGTTATTCTCCCTCGACAAAAACTAACATTCCTGATTTCAATTCGACCTGGAAACAGTGAAGAGGACGAGCCACCTCGTGGAATGTTCTATTATTATTATTATTATTATTGTTGTTGTTATTGTTATGGTCCATTAAGTTCGTTTAGATTTAAAAATGAGGTAATTACGAAGCAAATGCCTTGTAAATAACTCATTATTATTAATGACCTTATCAATATGAAAAGTGCTTAACATCGTTTTCTTTCCAAACGGAACCGCTGTTCTCATTCACAATTGGCCATCCATATTATTTCAATATCTATAATATTTTACCTGGGCATTTCTCAGCACAACAGACTGCTCCATTGTAGATATAACAGGTTGATAGAGACATTTGTGGGCACCCTGTGGTCTGCTTGTGTCCTTCAAAGAGGAATTGACACCCTTTGTAGCCCCAGTTGTCTCCTCGTGACAAAATGTGGCCACCTTCGACGGTTTCAATTACTGAGTAAAGAAATATTTATTATATGGATATGAAAAAATAACAATGTCAGAGGTAACGGAGTTGAGCTAAATTATAAAGAGTGGTAGAATACGGTAGTTTTAATCGCTCTGTGTTATTTATTTTGAGAGAGTAGCCGAACCAACAGGTGCTATCCAGAATTGAGCCTAGCCGGTTTTTACCAGTTTCCTCGAGTAAAAATAAAGCCATGAAAATGGTTTTTGCGGTGATTTCAATTTCCGCCCGGGTCAACATTTAGTAGCTTGTTTTGATAAGTATAGATGTAATGGGCGAATCCTGATGATGTATGCTAATTTGGTTAAAGTGATCTTTAAGGTAGCTCTCGGCATAAATTGAGTCTAAATCTTTAACCTGACGTGTACCTTCACAAGTTTCTCTCCTGGCATTAATAAACTCCACAGCGTTACACCCTGGTTGTTCACAGGACTCATTAAAAGGTACGTATGCCAAGTGTTTGCCTGGGAAGTTGACTTGAAGTGTCCTCTTGCATTTCAGACGACCCCCTGTACACTCGCAGCTGAGACAGTCGGACACCTGGAATGATATTAACAATGAACTCTTCAAATGTTATTCGAGCTGACATTACAAAAAGAAAAGCTAAGCTTTCCGAATGATAAATTAGTGTACTGCTTTAGTTATTCTAAGGGTTGAATTTTTACAAGGTTTGCCATAAGTATAAAAATTTACCTTCCAAACATCTTTTAGAATTAGAATCTGCCCTTCCTCATCACGACAAATAACTAAAACAACAACAAGAAATCATCAGTATTTATTTTTAATTAAGTTTGTCTCCGACGATTTTTTTTCCTTCCTTTTTCGTATGAGCGATGGGGGAGGAGGGGGGGAGAGGAAAGGGGGAAATGGGGAGGAAAGGAGGAGTGGTATAGGGTGTTGCTAAGATTAGTGAAAGCTCAGTTACTTTAAAAAGTCGGATTTATTAACTCACCATTCTGACACTGCGCCTCATCAGAAGCGTCCGGACACTCCGCGACTCCATTACACACGTGTTCTTTCCTTACGAAGTGGCCACTGGAACAACCAAATACCTCATTTAAAGCCTTGAGCTGAAAGAACACTGGAAAGAGAAGAAGCTTTTAACATGGATAATTGCGCTGTGTAATGTCATTCGTTGGTTGATCAAAACGAGTCGCTCTCTCTACTGGTAGGGGAGATAAGTGTAAAAAAAAATTGGCTCAACTAGGCCAGAAAGCAGTCATTTTGGATATTTGATTCGGTAACTGATGATTTCTCACCATTACAATTTCGCCTCTTACCATCTCTGCGATTTCGCTCCACATCGTTCAACTGATTAAGGTGGGGACAATTTTGTTTTATGTTAGGAAGGGGGTTTATAAACCTGTGATTCAGATCGAGAGTAACTACATGATAAATAACAAACAATCACATTTCATCATTGCAGTGATTTAACAACGACACTTCATTTATTATTGAAACCCACCCTGGCAAGCAGCGACTGTCCCATCCCCTGTTGGTAAAATATCGTAACTTGGCTGATGACATGGTATACATCTTCCAATTGTCTCAACTTGGAATAACCCATACTTGATAGTCACGCGATACTTCGCACAACTGATCAAACCATCCACGCATGAGCAATTGAAACAGACTCCAGAAAACCAGTGGGTACCATGATCCCGCACCATGCCTTTCTCATCGGTGCAGGCTGGCCGAGAGAGCTTGGTACAGGTTATCTTTCCATAGCTACAGGTACACTTAGTCATGTTGTCGCTAAGCCACTCATGTCCATCTACAAAAGCGTTGCCATGGGAATCCCAGCAGCCACTTTCAGTTTTTTGGCACTCGACTTTAAGATTGGGTGCACATGTACATTTGAACAAAGGATTTGGGTTCCAACTCTGCCATACGTCATAGCTGTTTCCTTCTTTGTCTCTGCAACCTACCAGAAATTCAGAATAATAGGCGACCAAGTGGTTACCACGCATAAATTCTCGATGCAGGCAGTCACGGGTCACCTTTCTTTGCGTACTATCCACGGTTATGCCATTTGTAGCTACGAATGGCTTCAAAACTAAGTACCTCATTTTACTGGGATCAAAGTCTTCTAACAACGAAATATGTAATGGAAGTATTCAGTCATGCGGAGTCTGGTTTCCGCAGTTTTATCTATTCGGTTGTTTCTTTTAAAGGAAAAATCCATGATCTATCACCTGGGAGGAAGAGGTAAGGAGGATTTGGGAGGGGGGGAATTAAAGGGGCATTAGTCGACCCCCATATATTATAAAGGGGGGAGGACTAAAGAAAATTGCTCGCCAATCAACTGACGATGAAAGGGGGAACCATAACAATATCATAGAGCCTTAGGGGGGATCACAACCAAATTCATCCTTCTTCTTCACCCCTCCCCCCCCCGCCGATAAATAATGATCAGTTCATAACTGGTTTCTGTGTCACTTACCAGCTTCTCCTGCTCCACAGTATCGCAGGCTGCAGGAGTCTACACTTGTAGGAAAGTGTCCAAATTTGTACACCATAAAACCACTGCAGTTTTTCACTAACACCAAACTATACCAGTGACAACAATTGGTATCGTTTGTAAAGCAAACCATACGCTGCACCACGCCCTCCTCCACAGTTGGGTGTTTGCCATTCAACCAACCAGGTGACAGAGTACCACAATGCATTCTGGGCACGCAATGTGTCGGCATAACAGCCCCTGCCCGGCCAGCCAGCCTGTACCAGCCACTGGGTAGGTAGGCGTCACACTTCAAAGTGTTGTAACTGAAATAGTCTGCGGCTCTATCACGTGCGTTGAGTGTGTTGTAGTCAGTGCATTCATCGCCTACTAACAATTAAATAAACAAACAGACATACAAACAGTTATCGAAACAAACAATAGAAATCGACGATATGAAATTCTTATGTTTAGTTGAAACGTAGAGTCGATCATTCTTTTAATTACAATGAACAAACTTGAAAAGTTTCGGCACAATTTTCGCTAACACGTTTCTGTTTAAAGACTTAACTTCGTGTTGCTTGGTTTAACGAAGTAAACAATTATCGCAAATGAGATTAGAACTGAAATAACGTCATAAAGTTAACGTGGATAACTCTTTAAAAAGGGTAACTCTTTTTCCATATCGCATGCTCATCTTGACATCCATGAAAGCATTAAAGTTTGTAAACATAAGAGCAGAATATTCAAATGGCATAAAATTTGAGAACGTTTCCAATCTTTCTGACAAAATTTTGTTGAAGAGGAGGCGTGGAAAAGGCTGCAGTTGTGAAAATAGAATACCAGTGTCTGTGTTCAAGTTGAACTTTCACTCACAATTAAACAATCAATCAATTCATTATCATTTTTAAAGGCTTTAAACTACCTTTCTTATATTACCTAACTTGTTCTTGATTGCTACCTGCTTAGGCGGCAATGATCCTGAAATAAAGAAAGTCTCTCTGAGAAAATTTGTCCAGATTTTATGAATTAAAGTCAGTATCAGCAAGTCTTTGGGTTAAAACGTGGGATATCAAATTAACTAACACCCATCCCTCCCCTGAGGGACGCAAAATGGATGAAACCTCCCCCTTCTCTCGATAAAGAATTCATTTTACATCTCAAACAACTCCCAATAACTTTTATTTTAATAAAAAGGCAAAAACAAAGTGTCTTTAATATCGTGGTTATGAATTGAAAGTGGATGGCAGACGATGGAGGAGGCATTTACATTGTAATCTCTGAGGGTTTTCGTCTACAAATGCGATCGATGAAAGGAGTTCGGAGAATATTACATTACCTTCAATACCAGCTCCACACACTCGAAAAGTAAAGCTTAAACCTGCATTCACGTCTAGTTTGTAGACAAAGAAACCGCTGCAGTTCCTCACAAGTACACTCACAGATGTCATGCAACAAACTTGCGACATGGAGAGACATACTGATCGTACTACTAAACCTTCGTCTACACTTGGATGGTTACCCGCCAGCCATCCGGGAACTAACGTACCGCAGTGTTCAGCGGGAACGCAAGTTGTTGCCATGCGCGTACCGGCTGAGCCATTGTATGTAAACCAGCCCGTTAATGAGGTATCGCTGGCCTTATCGATGTAGTTGGTAAAAAACCTAGATCTGCTTGCCTCGTTTAAAACTGTGTGGTTTGTGCACTCGATTGCTATAGAACAGGAAAGAAAAACAAACAACTTAACATCGATCTTTTTGGTTCTCGTCTTATGAAAGTTTGGATGTCAGTGATCAAACCGAGGAATAGTAAAGGGAAAAAAAGACATTTCTGATTCCACTACGACGAAACGCACCCCTTTCCATGTTTTTTTAACTAAGCTAAAGGGTACTCTATGGCAAGCTAGACTAGTTTAGATTCATGTCCGACAAATGTCGTCTATCTTGCTACTATGTAGGATCAAAAACGATCAAGCGTCTTAGTTCTCTATCACCAACTTACTTAAAATAATTTCTTTTTTCTTAAAAATTTCGAAACCATATCTAATCGTTTCTCTAAAACCATAGTTTTTATTTCCAAAGAAAATGAATCTTTATTTGACTGGCGCAGCACCTTCAAGCAAATTACGGCATTTTCTCTACTGAGAAGAAATACCAGCCTGCTTTCGTTAATAATGTTTAAGCATTACTATAATATTCCCCGGTTCTAACAATTTTGGCAAGCTTAAGTAGTTTAGATCGTGTGACGTGTCCTGTGAAAAGCAGCTGGCTTCTACCTCTGTGAAAATGTTGAGTCAACTTTAAGGTACAATAAAAAGAATGGAAACAACGTTACCAGGATGAGGACTGGAAATCCCTTCACGTGAAGAAAGTATGGCCACAGCAAACAGTGCAATGAAGTGGTGCAGCATCTTAACCAGTATGCATTATCCTGGGCAGTTTTAGGAAATAAAATTGCTTTTATCCAACAGAGAGAAACATTTTCTATACCTTTTAAAGCTACGAAACCTCTTTTTAAAGCGCAAGTACCTTCTTTACACGAAGGTAGATTTAACTAAGGTGTGCCGAAAAGTTAATGCAATACTCTTCTAAACAGTTGTCTGAAAGATGTGATCAAATCCTCGTCGCAAAGCTTCGTGTCCAGGGTTTGACCTCATCGTAACCTTTGATTCATTGGTGAGTTTTTCAATTACTTTCAAACACGTACTTGCATTTAACGGTGCGCATAAAAATTCACTCTGGTTAGAAAAAGCGAGAACAATTCGTCCATGCATTATGGAAGATGTTTACGACGAGAGCTTGGCATATACTCAGTGGAGTATCATCAATGTTTGTCATTATTACCTCTCATCGAAGTTGTAGAACGCAATGCTAATTTGGTTAACACATGAAACTCAAAGTTTAACCGGTCAATACTATAAGCCAACGCTTCGTCTTGAGGGTTTTCAACCAGCTTGTTAAATGCAGTGCGACATTTATCCCTCTACAGGTAACAAAGCCCTACCGGTACTTGAGTTAAAAACCTCGTATTATGTACCAACTATTGTAATAAAATATTTATAGATGTCTATATTAAAAGCTTGGTACTTATAATTAGAAATTGAGCTGTTGAACGTATAAAATGTGAAAAAAGGGTTCGAAACAAGTACGGATTGATTTAAGAGTCACTTGATATGAATAAAAAGCTTGATTATGTGATTAAATTTCAGGGTTTCAAGACAATTACTCTCGCGGTACTTTGTTCGTAATATAAAATTCGCTCCCTGAATTTTGATACCTAAAACTTTTGTTCATCAATTTTCATTTAAAATTCATATCTAGTTATAAATGACAAGTCGTCACATTACCGGCTTGAGGCAAATTTTGCGACACGATTTCATAAGACAGGAAATCAAAACTCAAACGTAATTTTCCCAAACAAGTATGCACAAACGCCGGGTAACATGAAAATTGTTTGTATTGCTCAATACGTAGGCTTCCATGAACTATTTTCGATTACAAGGGAAGCAGTGTTAACAATCAGCCCACTTGCTCCTGGAGTCGAACAAAAAGACACTAATTGCGTTGTTTATGAAAGGTATCAATAGAGCGTCGGTTTAAATTGAAAAAAAAACCTAAAATGCTTAAAGAGCATTTTAAGTCTACTAAAAACCTCACGGAATCGAAGGCAGGCGATATTCTGGTTGCAAAATTTCCTTCTTCGAGGTTACGGCCATTTTCTATCTGGTCTAAATTGTTTTTGTTCTAAATCATGTCGGGCAAATCACTTTACCGTCTGCCGGAGTATGGATGCAACAAAACATTTCAAACATCAACAAGTCAACACGTTTCGCAATTTTTTCTCAAATACGTGCTCAATCATCCCATTCGTCAAATCCTGATTAAGGGTTTGTTTAATTTATACACTGATGGAAGAGAAAAACCGCAGTCATAACAACTTGGATGATTAGTGACAAAAATTTTTTGTGTTTAACGACCGAATCACCTGCTGCGAACAAAGTGAAAAAGCTTTAGTAAAAGCGAAAATAGATTTTGACAATTTGCGACAAAAAATTTCAACCGAATTTTGCGTTATATCCCTCTTGGCGAAAGAAGAAAAACAAGACAATAAATTTTTGATCAAATAGCTGAAAGAGAATTACCGTTTTGCTTCATATACTCACTCGTCTTGTTTTCCATGTGGGATAAATAAAAAAAAAATGGAAAGATAAAGGATATGAAATACCTAAATGAGATGCGCGGAACACGACGCAATGATCATATTTATAATTTCCGACCATGCGTCATCTTCGACTTAGTGCTTTGTTGAAAGATGAGTGGAAGTAAATTCAGAGATAAGGAAATTAACCGACATTTGAATATTCTGCTCTTCAGTGACAGGAAAACTAAGTCTGTTCAATTACTACATTTCTCAGAGGCGTGAGAAGGATTTTCCGGATGGGGGTTATGGAGAGAGGAGGGGAGGGGAGGAGGGGGGGAAAGGAAGCTTGCAGCAGTGCCTTATTGGCAGGAGCCACTTTAGCTTTTACTCTTTTTTACAAAGACGGGCTCCACATCTCTACGAGAACCCTCCCCCCCGCTTAGTTACGTCCTTGTTCTAGTAATTGACTGCTCCTTGCGAAATATTAAAAGCGATCGGTCCTCAGCCATAAAGGATGGAGAACTCTTTGCGGAGGCCAATTTTTATGAAATATACTATCGTACTGTACTTCCAAGGATATTAGTTTCCACATTTAAATATTTATCTATATCTGAAGGGAAAAAAAGAAAGTCCTCGTTTTTTGTGTCTATTTAAACTATAAATGAAAATAAAGAATTTTACATTTGTGTTTATTTGTTGTTAGGCTACGGACTTCGCTGCTCCTACATTTATCATTCAAAGAAAAATAAGTGGCGCTCGTTCTTTAATGCTGATGAGGTATTTCATGAATCCTCATTTTGTCAAAAAAACCCAACAATAAAATCAGTTTTTAAAGATAAAAGATCTTGAGCGGATAAAAAGTAATTGTCTTGGCTAAAAGCTACAAACAAATTCGCTCAGTTTTATCGTATCGAATATCTCAAAATACCATAATTGAATTCTTGGCTACTTTTAATCATTTCCCGTTGGAAATTAATATTCTTCATCAAAATTCAAGTTCACTGATTGAACGTGGGTAGTATTTTTCACAAAGATTTTTTCATGCTAAAATACGTCTTTTTAATCTATACAAAAAATGAAATAGTACACCTTTTTTTATCATTATATCTTTTCATTTCACTTTGGTTTAATTTTTTTCCTTTCTGATTTTAAATGTCAAGTAAGTTAGGAAATGAAAAATTTTTACCAAAGAAAAATACATAGTGTTTCAACTAGTTTTATAGATATTATTGGGACAAATAAATACAAATTATATCTGAGGAATTAAGGAAATTCAGATAAAACTTTCGGGAAAAGAAGTGTATTTCAAAATTGAAATAATACTACTTTGGGTAAGGATATCCGGTTAAATCAAAGTTGTAAAATTAAGAATTCTACTTGTTAAATTGAAAGCAATACGAGAAAACAGTGAAATTAAGAGAAAATTTTTGCAAAAGTGAAAAAAAAAATTAGCCAATGTTTGGAAAAGATTTTTTCGGAAGATTTTTGCAAAAGGCTTTCGGAAAAAAAATTAGAATTCTACTTAATAAATTAAAAGCAATAAGAGAGTACTGTGAAACTAATCAGTGTTTCGGAAGTTTCTGGCACAAGGCTGTCGGAAAGAGCTTAAGTTCTTCCTTTACTCATGAAATATCCAGAAAAAAATTTCACAGCTATGCACGATTGAAAACGAAGGGTCATTGGCATCAGTTACGAGCTATAGTGAAAATTAGCGAAAACCATCTGAATTATTGGATCCTGAAGTTTCGTTCGGCAATGACGAATGTAAAAACGAAAACCCTGACGTATCTCTAAACAAAGCAAAATTTGTACAGCGAAATAAAAAAACCCGTAAAGTAGTTACGATACAGCACAGAGTCGTTGATGAAACAGATGTATAAAAAATAAGTCGCGTGCAAATTTATCGCCTACCTTCAAATCTTCCGTGTTTGTTCTTGCATGAACTAACACCACTACTGCGGAAGTCACTGCGAGTTTTCGTTTATAAGAATTAATTTGTACTTGACTGGATAGCGCGCGTATCAGAGACTTTAGCCGCTCACCTTGCAAGGCGGAAGGGACTTAACTGAACCAATTATGCTTTTATGTTTATTTTGTACACCTTATCATCCAGGGAAAGTTGGAGAACCCTCTCGTTTTCCAGTTTTGGAGACAAAACAAGCATAAATTACCTTTAGGTCAGCTTGGTTCCTAGCGAAAGCTCCTCCCTCATATGTATGCAAATATGAAACGGGGCTAAGGGAAGAATCAATTTGTTTACTTTCCAGAGGCGTGTGGACACAGTAGGATGTAAAACTCAAACAAAGATAAGATGAATAAATACTAATAAAAATCATGCGTCATTTAAAAACAACATACATTGCGTCAAATTACAACGCACAGTTTGCTACTCTTATGGTAAGGAAACATTACTGCAAACATTGACATCCAAATTACTTGTCTTCTTGTCTTTGTGTGTGCATATGTCTCGTCCAAAGGGTCGTGTTGGGCCAGTGCTGTGACGTTTCTGAAAATTTCTTTTCTCTTTAATGAGATTTTTCTGTCTATAGAAGATCTCGTGCAAAGACCTTTTTTATTTTC